TTATGATTTAATCTAATTGTATTTTTCTTTATTAAAGAACAATATGTAAATAAATGTTTGAAGAATAGTGATAGGAAGATGTATAACTCTATTGCAATTAATGCTGAACGTAAAAATGTAGTAGCAGAATTTCTGCAAAAGTCATCTATTCCAAAACAGTGTGGCAATTGCAAGTTGTAAGTTAAAGGATCATTGTTTTTAACTTTCTCGCTGAAATGTATCTCAGTTTACATATGGATTTAGATATTGTCGAACGTTTAAAAAGGAAGGTCATTCAAAAATATTTCAATGCGTTTTATCGTCGAAAGCGCAAAAGAATCAAGAGTTGGCTATGAAAGATCAGAATTTATCAATAGAGGAAGATCAATCACACGTTAATCAAAACTCTAAAACAGCAAAAAAATATATTACACCGGAAGAATTACGCGAACATTTTCGTAAGCTTTTTGTGAATGAGTCAGATCTTTGCTCTTTATTATATAGCAAACGAGAACTTTTATTGGATAAAATGAATTCTCGGACTGAGGCCGTTCACGCAGATATATTCTTTATGGACGCGATTGCTGTCCCCCCTACGCGTTTTCGTCCAGCTTCAATTTTGGCTAATAAGACAGCGATGAATCCACAAAATGAACATTTTCTCAGAATTTTGAACGCACGTCTAGAACTTTGCACTCATGCTGCAATGTTGGATAAAAACAAGATACTTGTAGAAGATAATGAGACAAGCCACGTAGATGTTGTTGACAACCTGATGAAAAGCTGGGTCGAATTGCAGAATGCAGTAAATGGCATGTTTGATAATACGAAAGGAAATTTAAAACAAATGCGTAACAAAGAACCAGTCGCCGGTGTTAAACAAATTTTGGAGAAAAAAGAAGGGTTATTTCGGAAGCATCTAATGGTTTGTGATATATAGTTTTAATTAACAATTTATTTATTTTTTATTCATTTTTATTTTGTTTTATTTCATTTTTTTTTTTAATATTGTATTTCACCGCAGGGCAAACGCGTAAATTATGCTGCACGTTCCGTTATATCACCCGATCCATATATTGACACGGATGAAATAGGGGTAGTTAATAATATTTAAATCTAGAAATTTTATGTATACTTTATTGTCATTGACTATTGACGGGGCTGTTTAAATCTGCGCTTATTTATATACAGGTACCTATTAGGTTCGCCAAACGGTTGACGTACCCAGAACCGGTGACATCATACAATGTTAAAGAGTTGAGCCAGGCTGTGTCAAATGGTCCGGATATATGGCCAGGTGCTACATTTATTCAAAATGAGAATGGTTCTTTGATAAATTTAGCGAGTTTATCACTAGAATCTCGCATATCCCTTGGACAACAGTTGCTTAGAGAACAGCAAGACAAACCATCTTTTACTCAATATTTTGTCAAGACACCATACATAAACAAAAAAATATATCGTCATCTTCAAGATGGTGATATGTTGCTAATCAACCGACAACCTACTCTTCACAAGCCATCTATAATGGCACATCGTGCTCGTGTGTTGAAAGGAGAGATGACAATTCGTATGCACTATGCTAACTGTAAGGCATACAACGCAGATTTTGATGGAGATGAAATGAATATGCATTTTCCTCAAAATGAAATTGCTCGTGCTGAAGCCTTTCTAATAGGCAGCACAAGTCGACAATATCTTGGCCCAACATCGGGATCTCCCTTGAGAGGCTTGATTCAAGATCATGTAGTGGCTGGTGTGTGGATGACCTGTAAAGATACATTTTTTACGAAGGCTGATTATCAGCAGATCGTGTTTTCTGCACTGAGACTAGATCCTTCCGATTCAAGACGAATTCTGACCGTGCCTCCTGCTATACAAAAACCGAAAGCATTG